CCAAGATTAAAAGTAATAAATAAAGCGAATCATTTATGTTATTGTGGATAGAAAAACTCTTATCAACAAAGACCTTCGGTGTGAAGTGTTTATTAAAGTATCTACTAAAAAAAACACTGAGATGCTAAGGTTCAGGTTTTCGAACTTTTGAATGCGCGACAACTAAAGAATCTCTCAGCGTTCAAACGTAGTGGATTAAGGAGGGTGGGGGACCCAAGTTTTTTCACCAGTTTGTAGAGGACACTTCGGAGTGTGTGTCTCAACAAAGCTTCCGGTTCCCGGATTTGTGGTTTTTGGTCAAAAAAAGTCTGAAATTTGTTTCGGGTTTCTGCCCTATTTTTAAACCTTGACTTTTTGATATGAAGAGTTGATTCTGGTGTAGTTCGATAGAAAACATTAACCTGCATTAGGAGAAACACTTTTCATCGTTTCCGAATGAAGTTTGACGCAGAAATTTAACGTTCACCTTCCCGAGAAAGTTTCAGAGCTAAAAGTGTTTTTTAATTCACCTTACGGCTAGTTTCGTTCAAAGCAAAACTCTGAGTACAAAAGTTGTTCAAAGTCAAATTCTGCAGTCTCTAACGAGAGGCTTTTTTAAAATTGTCGTTTTACGATTTTTAAATTAAACTTTACGGTTTTTAAAGCTTCAAAATTTCTTATTTTTCGTGGTAAACATAAACATATAATTACAGAGAAAAAAAAATTATATTGACGACGGGAACAATCGTGTTTTCTTTTTTAGCATATTTTATTCAAGTTTTTTGACGATGATTTTTTTCTTTTTTTGCTATATGATTTGGGAAGTATATAAAATGTGTGAGAATTTTCGATGAAAAATTTGTTACATGTAAGTGATCGAACTTTTTAAATATCATTTTTTTGTTCTCACCATTGTCCTTAATAAACAAAATTTCATTTTTGTTTCTCTCTTCTAAAAGGGTTTCTTTCTTCCTATACTGAACGAAAGGAAGCTATATAAAAAGTTCATTCCAATTTTTTTCTTGCTCTCTAAATAAAAGCACTTATAAGTAATTGTTTGAAACATAGTATGTAATAAAAATTGAATAAATGAGACCATATAAAAAGAAAATTACCTTTTCTTATTTTTGAGAAGTCGAACTCAACATATATTAGTATATTATCAATTATTATTGTCTGCACTTAGTGGCGTATCCATGCGCGGGCTAGAGGAGATCAGCCCCCACTACTAACGGTCGGACTATACTTGGAAAAAGGCTCGAGCCCCCTCTACAACTTTTTTCTGGCGACGCCACTAGTTCTAGCAGCTTTTTATTCTAATTAAATCGTGTCTGCGCAACATTGATAATTGAACAACAGTGTTTCAAAGTTGAGAAGTTGGCGGTGTAGCAACAAAATAAAGAGAATGTTGACGCAACTAAAAATGAAAACCCTGTTCAACTTGCTCAAGTTTTGGAACATTCTTACTTACTGAATTTGAGACACCACATATTTACTCTACAATGTTTCATGCATGCGACACTAAGTTAATTAATATGAGTCAATATCGTATAAAGTAATAGGACGCTCTCTAGTCTGTGGTAGTTTCTAATTATAATTATAAGAGAGCAACAAATACTAGATAGAACGAAACTTGGTAGACAGAAGCTTAAGAGGAACCCAACAAGACTGTTGAAATTTTTGAGACGACGCTGTTACACTATTTTTTCGAATATTCAAAGATTTGTCATTCGAAAGTGTTTGACACTTAACTTTCACTTAACGACATGGCTGCACCGCTTCCATTGTCAGAACCGTAAAGTCGAAATTCTCCCCGTAATTCTCAATTTTCTCCGTTAGAACTGAATGTTTCACCAAAAATGATATCATATTCGGAATCAAGATGGAAAAGTGTACGTCGTGATGAAATTTCTCATGAACTTACATCTAGGGAGTTTCATTGTTTGAAGATTTTCTTGTATACAAAGGAGAACGAGTTGAGCGAGAAGGTGCTCTTGTAGCGCAATCGGTTAGCGCGTTTGGCTGTTAATCAAAAGGTTGGTGGTTCAAGTCCACCCGGGAGCGTATATTTTTAATGATCCCAGAACCATTCAATGATAATATCTGACATGAATTAACTCGTGAAAGAGAATTTTATTTGGTCGTTGTTAATGTGGATGCGGAACTTTTTTAAAATTTTGTTTGTTGGCTGAGAAAATTCATTTTTCTAAATCAGAGGCGACAGTCACATCATTTGTTGTCAGACAAAAAGGTCGAACTTACTGCCAACGAAATAGCCACCTTTGCGAAAAATAGTGGCTTTTCTTTTTAGATTCTGTAGTGGCTTGTTACACTCGTTTTTGAAGATTCGTTTGAAGATTTTCTTGTGTACAAAGCAGGACAAGTTGTTCGAGGCGCGCGATGATCGAATGCAGAAAAAGGCGAAAGAGCGAGGAAAAGAGATTCACAGAAAAATTGCACAAGGAAACAGAGATTCTATTTTACTTTTAGGAGATTTCAGGAAATCGGTTGGTTTGTGAACGTGAACTTCGGTTTTCAACCTTTTATTCTGTCGCTGGGGTTGTGCAAGTGTGAAGGTTGTAAGTTTGAGCGCAATCGATTGAGAACGGGCTTTGTTTTAATCATCTCGTTTGAATTCCATTTGTTTTTCCAATTCTGCTCTGTCGACCGTGGATCCATTTGGAGAAGACAAACATTGCCGCGAGATTCAGCACGTCTAAAAATCTATGTTTTACTGCGGATTCGAAATTAGCTAGGTAAAAAACCGTGCTTTTCGGGCGCGTGCTGCAGCACGGGAACGAAAGAACGGGAAATTGGCGGCCTGCGTGACGTTGTAGAGCTGCAGAAGAAGAATAGACAAGCAAAATATTTCGATGGGAACTGGTTTTCGTTATAACCATAGAAATGGATATTTGTAATGGCCGCTTGGAACAGCGAAGAGTCCAGCATTTATTCCTAGACGTGATGGTCTAACGAGATACTCATCATGGGTTTAGACGCACAATGAGGCAGGAAAAGATTTTTCGAAGAAATAACATCAGAGAAGTGGAAGTCTTATCAAGACATTACCATCAGATAACGCCTAACCAAACGCGCTAACTGATTGCGCTACAAGAGCACGTTCTCGCTCAACTCGTTGTACTTCGTATACAAGAAAATCTGTAAACGATGAATAAAATAAGAATTTGGATACTAGAGATAAGATGAATGAATAACGGCATTCGTTTTCGATTTTTTAACATGTCACGATTCAAAATGTTTTTCCTGTTCCTTTCGTTCTTCGGTTACAGTTCTGCTTTGACCGCGAAAGAAGAAGTGAATGATCATATCTTTGGCTTCCATTCGTTTCACGTTTTATAACATAGATGTTCAGGTACAGAATTTATTCCGAGAGTCAGTTTACGTTCAGAACTATGTTCCAAGAGTCAGGCGGTATCTACTGCGTTACATAACTTTCTGATGTTGTCAATCGTCCCTACGATGATACTTTCACATTTCCTGTTTTACATAACTTTTCAGGCTGATTTTTGGTCGTTTAGTGTATTGTTCACGGGGTAAGAACATTGTTCTATTAAATTATCGATATAGGAATATGTTGTTATCTCTTTGTCTTACTATGCATTTGGTCGAGGTAGTATGTATGAACTGTTTGGTATTAACGAACGTTTTTGTAATGGCTTTTTACACTCATTTTTGTTGAACGAATTTAAAGGAAAAGCAGTTGCAATTTAAGCGATGTTGGAGTTGGAATACTGCAATATGTTTCTGATTTTAACTCGTTTCAGAATTCGCTTGGGAAAATGTTCATCAAGAAAGGCTTCTCCCTTATTTGAAATAAGGGAGAAACCTTTCTTGAAGCAAAGTTTGCGAGACAAATTTCTGTTAAACATTGATTCACAAATAATTTTCCTTTTCATCTCATAATTCTTTCATTAAGAATATCCTTATTGAAAAATCAGGTTATCCCGTATTTTTAGGAAACAAAACAAAATGCGGAACGCATATCAACTGTCGTATTATGTCATCTCCTGGTGAAAATTCAGAAAATCAATAATAAGACAACCACAATGTGAAATAATTGAAACAGCAACAGACATAAAAACCAGAAAATCAAAAGATTAGTATATGAGATAATGAAAGCACATTGGGATGAAGGGATGAGCAGATCACAAGGTTAGAATACGGGATAATCAAAAGATATGGCGAAGAAGCCAGCTGAAATAAACTTTATGTTTGGACAGCTCTCTTACAAATGTTTTGATTATGACGCTTTGTAATTCTTTTAATAACATAAAATTATAGACGAGCGAAACATTATGTGATCGTTGAATGTGATTCACTAAATTCAAGTAAACTATAAATACGTAAAACTGTATCCGTATGATTTAGTTTAGCTTTACAACCAGTTAGCAGTCACTAGAGACTCTACGAGAACTCAATTATCAAAGAATCAAGAGAAACCACGACCGTTTTTGCCCATTCCTAAGGATTGGCAGGTGGTTCCCTTCGAGAAAGACAGAATTAAAGCATGGCAAGTATAGGCCTCAAAACAGTGCCAAAATTCTTTGAAAAAATAAAAATTCAGTTTCTCGTCACGAAGATAATTCCAAAGCCTGAAGTTTTATAACAGGAGAGCTACGTATCATTTTTGCAAGTTTCAGCTCTTTGGTGCGTCAGAATCCGTCTAGGATCTGCAACAAGACACTATCCTCTGTCAACTAATATAATATCATCGAAAACAGAGATGTACATCTGAGAATGTTACCGTGTTAGGAATAGTAGACGTTTAGATATTCATCAAGAGCAATGCCACTGAATCGTCACCTGCACATAGAACACTCTCAAACGCTATGGTTCATCACCATGTTGTCTTAATTACGGGCAACAAATTACAACGTGAGTTGCTCTACTGAACAAGCAAAACGCAGTATTTACTTAAAGTTAATTACCTGAGAAAGAATACATCCTGGGTTTCCGCAGTACACTTCTACGTTTCATCACAAAATTTTGTCTCATCATCATTATTCCTTTTTTATGGGTGTTGGATAAGAAACGACATGTTTATCCAATTTATAGCGTGGTGGCTTAGACTTACTCATCGACAAACCACGCGAAGATTCAATTCGCTTAAGAAAATCCAGTTTACTCTCGTCAGGCAAAACTCGAATGGGCTCTGAACCGGGCAAGTTGTCAAACACAACTGTGCCGGGTGCCATCTTTTCATGTTTTCCAGTAATGCTCATACTTTTTAACTGTTCGATTGTACACAATTCATACCAGATTGTCAGCCGTTGATTCGATTCTTGAGGATAAACAACACGATGAATGCCAGGTTTCAACCGATTATTGGTTGCTCGAGAAGCTGCCTCTCCTAGCCAGATGACACCTACGTTTGGTTGTACTGGTCCATTTACCCATTGATTACTGATCAAATTTTTCAGCTGCAATCCTTCATGCGTGGACAGAACACTAATTGAAAGAAGACCAGGATCATAGTGTGGAACACAATTGACTTCGGCGGTTGTTTGTCCGATCTCGGGTGGTTGAAACCCACTCTGCTTATTGAAATACAAGACAACATCGAGCATACCGAAATATTCTTCAGCCCACGGCAAATTGGCCCTTTCGACAAGGGATGATGATAAATCTTGAAACTGTTGTTTGAAGACCGAATTTTGCTCCAAAATTTCGACAAGATGTTTTGTTACAGCATCGAACATTTGTGACAGGTAATTCAATGGTTGAATTAACGTTTTCGGTATGAGTCCTTTGTTTGCAAACTTTTCATAATAACTCCCCGTCAAGAGTTTAATTCCTTCTTTGTGATCGACGACATGAGAATAACCATATGTAGACTGGCGCCCTATGTGGCGACTTTTGGCATGCACACCAGAACCAAAGAACTGGGTCAGTTCATTGATCAAGGTCTCTTGAGGGGATAGTTCCGGTGGTAGAAGAACAAAACACCAACCGTTTGTTTCAAATTCCAATTGCATCTTTTGCAGTTCAGTAGAATCATGTGAATTTAATATTTTGTTCAAATCAATTACGATCTGCTGAGAACAGAATTCGCCTTTGTCTATTGAGCCGTTGATATGATTCTGAAAAACATCTGATGCGGCCATTTTCTTCTATTACTTGAAAACTTTCGCTTAAGTGTTATACTATAACTTGTTTCTTTGTATAGGTAGTATGTATTTAGAATAGTCGTTCTGCTTGCTTTATATACAGAAGGTTATTGCACAATAGTTTGCTTCATGACCCGTTCGTTATGAATCAGTTTAGTTACTGTTAATGTTTTTCTTCCTTGCGAAAACAATTCTCTATAATTCACTCGAAGCGTCTGGAACTTGATTGCCTTACGTAATCTCATTATTGTTATTAGAAGCGAACGATGAGTCTGAATTAAACAGGAATATGTTTCCATCCTGTAATATATGAAAAGATATTATTTTCTGCCCTCTAGGCACGAATAGAGTTTGGCTAAAAACGCGTGTTCCTTCCTCCTTTTAAGGTATGATTATAACGCTTGATAGATAATCATTTCAAAATGAAAATTATGCAACAGTAGCGATGTTAAATCTCGTTATTTTATTTTATTAATATTCGACGAACTATGCAGAGCTCATTTTCAAGAATAAAAAGTAGAAGTATATGAGTGTGACAGCGTATGTAGACTGTGAAAGCGAAAATATCTATCTATTGTTTTTTATTCTTAAAAACGAACTTTGTACTCGTTCGTCAAATATTGATAAATTAAACAACGAGATTTAATACACTATTTTTACCATAATTTTTATCAGTAAAATATTCTAATGTCAGTACGAAGTACACACGAATCAGAGTGCTGGAAAAGTGGAGAATACGTTTTAAATTTGCACTAAAAGAGATCGAATGGAACGGCAAACTGTTTGTGATTCGTTTGTGTTGCGCAACAGACGTTAGAAATGAAAGCGCCTTATAGCGCACCATACGCCTTTCGCACAGTGGGCATTTAGGCGGCATTTTCTGAAAAAATCGCAGGTACGAAATTTTCTGTTTTGAATAGCGGTATATATAGTGTAAACAATGCCCTATTTAACAGTGAAAAAGTTTTTGTTGTAGCTGCTTCCAAAGTGGAGAAAACCAAGTTACAAAATTACTAGCGGAATAGGCGTGTTAGTATTTAAAATTGCACTTTCTCCATCAAATTTGAATTTTTTTTGAAAAACAAACACTGATATGGAATCGTCAGGTGTTGGGCTTTCTAAACGTAAAAAAGTTTTGGAAGAACAAGTTAAATTTCTGTTGAGGCTCAAAGATCTTTCTAGAAAATCTGTTTAAAAAAAAGGTGACCTCATAAAAATGCACGCGCGCAACTTCGCGCACTAGATATCAACATGAAAAATAAGGGTAAGGGTGCTTCGTTCCAGGCTTTCCAAAAACCCTAAGGATTTTGGAGTATTTCGCAGTTTTCTTCCTCAAAAAGCACCTTTTCCTGAAAATAAGGTCATATTCGGAATCAGCATGAAAACCTGCATCTAATGGTATATAGGCTGGCCGCCTTCGGCAAAGTATTGCTCAGTTTCTAAAAATCGGACATTTGTGAGCATTTTTGTTAGAAGTTTGATATCGATTTTTTGGAAGACCTCTCAGCGTCGCGCAAATATTTTCAAAGCACAAATTTATAGGTTTTAGGTTACGGCGAGTCTGAAACTTTGCTTTAAAACAATTGCAAACTTTTTCTAGGGTTTTTTTGAAGCCTGGGTCTCTGGAAATCCCCTGGAAAACCTCTGAAAAACCTTCCACGACTCACCTTTGCTACACTGCTGGAAATACCGTATGCGAAAACCTATAAAAAAGTGCTTTCGGATTCAAAACATCTATGTCGGCAAAAAATGCCGCCTGCTCTATGAGGAAATGCCCACTGTGCTTCGACGAGTAGAGCGCTCTGCAAAAATAGTAATTTATAATAGAGCAAATGCTGAAAGTTTTGATCGGAATCAAAACACGTATAATAAAATGTACATCCGTCGGATCTGCTGGTTCGCTTTGTAGCGTTGTCGCCTACTACTCTCACGTCCTTTCTGTTTTTGTTGTTGTTGTTAGAGAACTGCTGAGTAGCAGCGGACTGATTTCAACAGTGACCTTGAGCATTCTGAAAAGCAGCACTATTGCTTTTCCCAATTACCATCATCAACCTTCGTTTTGAAAAATGATGGCTAAACAAATAACTAGGATGAATACAAACATATAATCGTGCTCGACAGATTCGCCTTTCTTTAGAATAACATACCCAACGAATCGACTGTCACGCACAGCACTGCTTTCGATCGAAGATGGAATATTACAGATCTAGAACATCTTGCAACAGAGAAACTTTAGTGATTTCCTTTTGATTACTGGGTAGTATGTTCCACTTTTTCTTTTTCATTTATTTGAAACTAATGGGATTTGATAAGATTGTTACATTAGTGTGGACAATGTGTCTAAAGACGAATTGACGAATCACAATATTTGAGCGTAAAAATGATACAATAATTCGCATTTTACCATTGTTTTGCGAATTCGGAGCGAATTCGTAATTCAGTGCGAACTGACAAAAATGATTTAAACATAACCAAAAAGATGCCTCTTTTGTTCCTCTTGCCAATTTGTAAACTGGGACGAATTCGTAAGCAAGAAATTTCGGATACTCACGAATTCGTGAAAACAAAAAATACGATAAAATATGAATTTACGAATTCGTAGATGCCAAAGCATATCCGACGAATTCGTAAATTCGTATACTTCTCGTATCAATTCGGTCTTATTTTTGCGAATTCGTAAAATACGAATTGATATCAACGACAAGAAGTTTTTCTATGAGGTTAAGAAAACAAAGAATCGTCTCTTCGCTTCAATTCTTTCCTCGATTCGTCGATAGTTTTTCGCGAAAGAAACCAAAGAAATCCCTCTCATTTTTGTGTGCATGCGCGGGGGAGGGGGGCAGTGAGGGTGGCTGTGAGTATTTACACAACAAGCCAAACGTATTTCGTTTTATTTGAGTCAGTCTTTTACGAATTCGTAAAAATAGCGGCAAATTCAGTTGAGAACTGTGCGAAGAGATGCGGACAGACCAATCGATCTATTTTTAACCTCATGGAAATGTGTCTTGTCCTTGACACCAATTCGTATTTTACGAATTCATAAGGATAACGGTGAATTGATATTAGAAGTATCCGTTTTCAACCGCTGGATCGGTTCGTAATATGAATCTAGTTCTAAAAGCAGTGAACACTAATTCGTAAACAAATTTAACGAATTATTTGCTAATTGATCCGCGTCGTGCTTAATCTATTTGCATGCTTGCGAATTCGTAAGCTGAATTCGTAAACGTTTTTAAGAATATCCATGCGAATTCGATTCAGGTCGCATCAGTTCGCTGTGAATTTTCCAAATAGGCGTAAAATGCGAATTGGTGCGTCATTTTTACGCTTAAAAACTGCGATTCGTCAATTCGTCTTTAAACAGTTTGTTCACACATCTCGATTGTTAACTATTACTGTAATTAAACATTGAATAGACCGATCACTACCCAGGTCGATTTTCGCGCGAAAGTCGCGCCACGACTCGCGTTAAAAAGTCGCGGCGCGCGCTACGCGATCGCTATAGGACTCGCTTTTAGCGATCGCTATAAAGTCTTGTTATAGTGATTCTCGCGAGAAGGTCTTGCTAGTTATATAAGAAGATCGCAATCTCGCGGCGCGAGTCTTGCCGTGCTTTTAAAATCGCGACGCGAGTTAGCACGAGTCGTGGTCAGTCGCGTCGCGAATTCTGTTATGCAGATCGGTTCTACAAGAATCCTGCATTCTCGCGATAAGTTTCAGCAAGAATCGTGCATAGTCGCGATAAGTTTCTGCAAGAGTCTTGCACAGTCGCCCCAGATTTTTTCTGCTCCTAGTTTCCCCCTATCTTTTGCTCATTTGACAGTTTTTTCAGAAACAGAAATTGTCTACAGTGTTTTAAGAGGAGTGCGTCCTTCACAGCGCTGCTTTCAAGATTTGAATCTCTCCAGAGACATCGCCTTAGATTTCTCCGATCGAAAATAGCTTCTTGAGATCATGTCAGACCTCAATGTATACAGTGTTCTTTGCTTGCTTGGAATATCAACCAGCCTTGTGTTAAAGCTGCCTCAAGTATACCAGTTTTTCTTCTTTGCTACATGTACATTCAACATTATTTACGATAAATCACAGTAAAATCACAAAACAGAAAGATCAGCATCAGAAAAAGACTATAATATCAGAGGTTTGCATTTCAGGATACTTTGTCAGCGTCCAGTTTGGCACTTAAGTGCATCATGTTTTACGGGCTTACTCTCCGGAACATGATGCACGTAACAAGTACACAATTATTTCAGAACAGTATATCTGGTGGAAAGTGAAGAAGTCCTTTCGCCTCTTCTATTGTTACAAAGTTGAACTAAATGGCTTTTTTGAAGTATGGTTAAGTCAGAAGGTATTTTGGAATATCAAATTGAAAAGTGAATGCTTCAAGATTATCATCAACTGTTGATCTAACGGTATCCACCTATATTTTTCAATTCTGGTTTGCCATGAGACTGGAATTAGATCTCAAAATATACGTGAGATAGACTGATATTGTATTGCTCGTCTATGGGTTTTACCGTAAGGAAACGTTTGCTGTATGTGATGAAATATCACGCTTGTACTTACAGAGGATGTGTATCCGAGAAATACTAACGCTATGAACAGTTCATTGCTAGAGCCGAAAGCTAATTTAGCATCCTGTGAATGAGATGCTCTGGAACTATGCTGCTATCCTCTGTGCGTTAAACAGGACCGAACTGATCTCGCTACATCCTGTAAGTCATCAACAACAAAGCGATATTACACCGAGGAAACTCATATAGAGACGATAATCAACCATTTGGTGCATTTCTCACTTTAGTTCATTTATTTTGAGGTCTTTTAACACGGTCCACATGCTAATTGAACCTATATAGACGAATCTCTTAGATTTTGTGCATTTTCTGACAATGATAACCCAGTTTTTGACTTTCAAAACTGTTAGGAGAAAAACGGCTCAACTTTGTAACAAATGTAGCAAAAACGAAAGGGCTTATTTTTTTTCTGCTTCCACA